GTTTGTTCAATATAAAGTATTTGTGTCTTAATTGTGTGTGTGTAAAGTGCCTCAAGTTCCAAGTGACTTACAGCAACCCCAGCAAGGGGCTTTCAGAGCAGTGGTCATTTCCTGCAGTAATGCACAGGAGCGGCGCTCCGGCAGTAAAGAGCCCAGGGGGCGGGCACATGCTACAAGCCCCACCCCCTGCTCCCAGCAGCCCTCAGTCAGAGCAAGAAGCAGCCGGGTAAATTGCAGAGCCCTTCAAAACAGTCCAGTGGCACCTTTAAGACCAAGTTTTATTCAGGTACAAGCTCTCCCTCCTCTCTGCGAGGACAGATTCCCCCCCCCCCCAATAGCTAGCAATCCAAAACAGTCCAGTGGAGCCTGAGCAGTGGGTGATGTCAGGGGGTGTGGCATATGCGAATGAGCTATGCTAATGAGCTCCTGCACCTCTTTTTCTATGAAATGACCCGTGTTTCAGGGTAAGTAAGAAACAGAGGCTCCCTTCTGAGTACTGACCCTGCTTAGCCTACAAGATCAGGCTATACCACGCTGCCTCCCCTCCCCTGTATTTTAATAGCCCACATTAAAATACTTAATGCCCACAATGAAATACATGGATGTACACACCCAGTTAGACTGCCTTGTCAAAGCAACAAAACACATTAGCTAAGATTGCTCTGCTCTGTAAAGGGCTTCTTGGAACGAAGTTGTTTGTTGGGCAAGGGTTTGCTGTTTATTACTCTGGTTGCAAAAAACAGTAAAGACAAAAAATAAAGGGCTTCTAATAGTGGCAGTTGCACTAAGCATTAACTACTTCAGAATAAGAAGGTGATCTTGTTTATAATTACTTGTGAGAGTGTGATCTTCTGTCATTTAGTGTTAGTCTCCAGTATGTACTAAAAAATACATTGACCATTTTAAAGACCGTATCAGAATGTATTAGAGAAGAAATGGGGGAGTCCTCTAGATTTTCTGCTTCAGGCAGTAAAATGTTTTGGGCCAACCCTATCAAAAGACAGCCTATGTTCATTGTGCCTGTATTGGAAACAAGTATGACAACAGGTTGCAAAGTTTCCCAAATAATTAATTGGAATTACCCATCAGGCAAGTATGGAATTCCCTTAATTCAAATATATAAATCTACACCAAGCCTTACCATTCATATGATCTTTTGGGATCAAATATATTTGGCCATCTAGTTCTGTATGTTTTTCATTGTTCCATTAATGAACCCAACAGATGTTTCTTCAGGGACCTTTAGCCTACAACTTGTGAAGAAGAACAGCTCTACGATTGGCTGCTTTTTACAACAAGATGTAGGGTCAAGGGCCTCACAGATGTTTGCCATTTGTGTCCTTTGTGAAGTGCTCAAATGCAGGTGAATGTGATCAGATGTAGCAAAGTTTCAGAAAGAGCAACATTCACCAGTGTAAATATTTCACATACATGTAACAAAGTTAGAAAATTAATGGATATGTTTAATCTACTGAACAGGACAATGTGCTGGATCTCTAATGATGAGCTCTATCAAGTGCACAGAGAGCAATCTATTTGGGTTCTCAAAACCCCATTTTAAAGAGCAACATGTTAAACGGATGTCTAGTTCAAAGGGCTGCCTCTTGGTGTAAATAACCCTTTATTCTACAATGTCAGTCTCATAAGAAGATAATCGCCTCACTGCACATTGGCCCTGGATGTTCCTGCATAACGCCGTTCTAGTATGGGACATTCAATACTGCAATTTGTGGTCTCCTGAGATGCTGCTAGCACCCTCCTCCAGGTAGGCCTCATCTTGGTAATCTCCCATAGGTGTGATGCATAGATAAATGGGTTGCTTACCTGTGACTGATGATCTTCAAGTGGTCATCTATGCATTCACACCACCCACCCTCCTTCCCCACTGTGGTCAGCCTTTGTTGTTTTCATTTCAATTTGGGGTTGGCAGTGGTCAGAAGGAACTGGTGGGATGCTGGTGCCCCACCCTGTGGGCATGTGCGGTTGGAGTACCTGTACATGCTTGGAGGAGAGGCTCCGTATACCTTCTGAGCTTGCTTGAAGTTTCCCAGCTCGGAGCTGGCGCAGGTGCCTTAACCCAGAGGTGTGAATGCACAGATGACCACTCGAAGATTATCAGTTACAGGTAAGCAACCTGTTTTTCTGTAGAAAAGATGCTGGGTCATCTTCAGTCTTCCGTGCAGTCCCCATTGGGACTGCTTCCAAGCAGGCTTGTCACAGAAAAGCATATTCCCATGCTAAAAAGTTCTCTGGAGGGTTATTTCTCCTCCCTCTCACCATTGTGAGATGTCCTCTCCCCACCCAAATGGTCTAAGGGCGTGGGGGCCCACTCCCTCAGTTCCTTTTTCACTGCCATTGAGAAAGGTTCTTCCCAGCATTGCTCCTTTGAAGAAAGATCTAGAAGAAAGAGGATTAGCCTGTTCGTGTCAGGAAATCTTCTCTTGGAACCAATTGTCTCACTGTGTGCCAGGCAGACAAAGAAAGCTGTGCACTCCTGTGCCTCATGCTGTTCTTTCCCGGGTCTCTGAGTAGCTTTAGCTCCCAACCTCCTTTCCATGGGCACTACTTCTAGCCCCCCCCCCCTGCAATGGCTCAAAAGGCCTTATTCAAGAAATGTTCTAAATGTGGTACTAAAATGCCACACTCTGACCAGCACAGCCTTTGCCTTCTCTGTCTTGGAGAAGAACATAATGTGAGGTCCTGCTGCATTTGTCAGCAATTCACCCCCAAAGCACGGAGTGACAGGGCTTTTTGTTTAAAGGCAGCCCTTTGGGAAAAGACGCTGACCTCTGCCGATAAGCCTCCCAAGGCAACTCCACCAAGCACATCCCAGCTCAGCAGCAACCTCGGTTCCATGGGCTACTCGCTCTGAACCAACTCGATGTTGTTCACTGTCTCCAGTTCCGTTGAATCAAAGAAGTGTCTCGGAACCTCCGCCCAAGAAGAGCCAATGTAAATCAAAACATAAGGACAGATCCAAGTCTTTGTCCCAAACCCAAGGACCGCCCAAGTCAAATGCTGTGACCACCCAACCTGATGAAACCCCCACACCTCCTGGGGCCCCTTCAGCATGCTCTGCTTCACCGATCCAATCCGTGTCAGATGCAGAGCTTCCTCTGGGTCAAGCCTCGGCAGCTAGCTTGATGCTGACTCAGATGGACCCAGCGGCCTGGCATCAACCCTACCTTCCGCTCCCATTGCAGCCATACCCGTACTATATGTCTCCTACCTAGCCTCAAAACTGGTCTGATTACCCACTGCTCCCACATTCTGACCAAGATCAATATCGTTCTCCGCACCAGAGTCATCCTTCCACATTGTTGTCGGTTCCACCAAGCCCACGTACAACTGTTCCCACCCTCAATTCTGATGAGGATGGAAGGCTGGATTTGGGTCATAATTCAGGGATTCCATCGGATCCATCACCAGATGAACAGGTTGATGACCCTGCTCCCATTTTGCCTAATTAAGACCTCAGGCTACATGCTGAACAGAAGTCCAGAGTGGCCCAAGCCTTGGAGATTGACATCGCTACAATGGAACATAAACCCAAGGACAAGATCCTTAGTCAGCTGTACTCTGAGACTCCCAATTCTATCACCTTCCCTGTATTGGAGGGCTTCAAGGACATTCACTGAGACATCTGGAAGAGACCTGCCTCTGCACCCACCACTTCTAGGCACAGAGAAAACCCATACAAGATCAAGCAGGGACATGCCACATTCTGTCTACTCCCCCTCCCCCTTCCCCCTAGAGACTGATAAGCTTCGGAACAGAGCTCGTCCAGCCTTTCACTCCACTCCCATGGACAAGGAGGGGAGAAAACTGGATGCTTTGGGTTGCAAAGACTAAATGAGGCTGTGGTAATGAGCAGGAACTCATTAGCATAATAGGCCACACACAGCAGCAGGAACACATTAGCATATTAGGTCACACCCCCATGCCTTCCCTTGGCTTGCCCGGGCACCCTGCGGCTGTGGGGAGCCCGGGCAAGCCGGTCCTTGGACAGGCCAGGAAAGGCACAGGGAGGCATTTAAATGCCTCCCCAATCCTTCCAGGGCCCCCTTGGCCAGTCTGCCTCAGAGTCGCTGGGTGTGTGTGTGTCGCTCTCCAGGCCTTCCCTCTGTAGCCAGGCATGCAGAGGTTTTGGCTGTAGTGGGCATGGCCTACTCTGAAGCCAGCCAGAACTCTGTTCCTGTCCAAAAATAGCCCTGTGGACACCGCTCTTAAAGAAACCATCTTTGGATCCTACAGATCCAGCCACCTACCTCCCAGTATCGAATCTCTTGTTTCGGGGTAAGGTATTTGGATCATCAGATGCTGAGAGAGCCCACACTAGACATTAGGATAGCTCTACTTTTTTACCTTAAAAGAACCAAACCATCCCGTAAGTGCGTTGGTCTGTTTATTTCATATTACGAGGTGTAACAAAGGCAGACCAGTGACATCTTAAACACTGTCCAGGTGGATCATTTTGGCCATTCAGACATGTTACAGACAAACAGGGTTACCCTCCCCTCTACATGTTTGAGCCCACCCTACCAGGGCCCAGGTATCTTCAGCCACAATGCTGTGAGGTGTCCCGCTGCTGGAGATCTGACAATCAGCTACTCAGTCATTGTCAGAACCCACAGCCAGCAACGTAGTACACACTTTCCAGGAAAGGTAATACTTTATTAAAGAGCTATAGATGTATCAACATAAGCACTGTTAAGAATGGCAGTTGCCCCTTGGGCATAATAGGATATAGGGTATTCATATGCACTGCGCTGGCCAATTAGGCACCCTCCCGTGCGCGGGATAAAGCTTGCAAACCGTTGCTAGCTGAAGCTGGGAACTCACACTCTCCCATGGCTCCCTGGAAAAGGCAGACACCACAACTCCCACCTGCACATCTTTACAGATAAGCGTTTCAGCGCGAAGCACAGAAAGGAATGCAAGAGCCATTACACTGACGCTGTCTGACCATCCCAACCCCCATGGCAGCATAGCTGACAGAGATGTTCATGAAAACCATGCTCTGGACCTGCAGGCAAGACATGAAGCACAGGTTGGCAAAGCCATTCTACATTCTCTGTTCAAGTGACTTATTCAGGTGAGACCCTCATCCCACCTCCTAGGTTGATAGCTTGGTAACATCCCAATGGGGAACTGCACAGAAGACTGAAGATGAAAATGGGGTTGCTCTTACTTGTAACCATCATTCATCGAGTGTCTTCTGTGCAGGTACACATTCCCCTCCACCTGCCCGGCTGTGGGTTCTCACAGGACAGCTTTTCTGGTACTCATGGTGATTCAGGCAGAACTGAGGGAGGGGGTGTCCCTCCCTTGGATCATGTGACCATCCTTTGGGCGGGAAAAGGACAGGCTGGCAATAACCAGGGCCAGGGCTTTCTCGGTGGTGGCTCCTCTCTAGTGGAATGAGCTACCAGAAGAGATCAGCGCCCTGCAGGGGCCTTATGCAGTTCCACAGGGCCTGCAAGACAGATGGTCTTTTAGATATGTTGCTAATATCTCCTATCTCCCACCCTTACACAGATGGTAATTTGTTCCTCTGCTGTTGTTGTATTGGCTGCATTTTTTTTTCTTTTGTGAATGTAGTCTGCTTTGATCTCTCATCTGAGAAGGAACAGAAGTTACATGGAAAGAGCAAGTAAACACAGTTGCCAATCCCAAATTCCCTGATTCCTGGGAAACAGCCTCAACCAGGTAGGTTATTTGCAGTGATGTAAAGGTTATCTTGATGTGACGGTTATTATGGTTCAAGGCTTCCCCCCCCCCCCTCCTCAGGGTGCCGTTGGCTGGTTTTGGTGGAGTGACTGAACATTTACATAAATTCCTGTTCAACTTTAACCATTGATGTTGGCCTTTTTAGATAACTATTATGTGACAGCCCAAAGTCCAGCTGCCTTGATAGCTAAAATGATCTCTTCATTTCAGTGGTGCTTTATCAGTCTTTTATCAGCTAGATAAATAACTCAATGGCTCTTGTTTAAACACCTAACAACTCAAAGCATGTCTGCTCACAAACAGGGAAAACTGATCTCTTGCTCCAGCAGAAGACAGCACAAGGAACAGTACCACTGGAACACCTTGGCAGTGGCCTAGACTTGTAGGCTCCTGGCATCCGAACTCACATAAACTTTTTTTCCTTTCTCGCAGACCTTTTTCGCCTTCTCCGTAGTATTGCTGTTAAGACTAACCCATGTCCATCGTAGTCGCCTGGCCAGGGCATCAGGTTCTAGTGGCGTCCTGGAGACTGAGGTCCCCAAATCAAGGCACAAGTTGTTGAGGCTGGAGCCTACAGTGCAGAGAGCTAAGATGTTGCTCCAGAAAAAGCTGAAGGTGGACTGAGGACATTACTCCAGAAAAGAAGTTATTATGCTAGAACTACTCCTCTAGGAACAGGCTACCAGAACTTAAAGGGCTGTGTCTGGTTACCAGTGGTGAGTGCTCTGATGGGGCTGGGATGTTTCTTGGCCTTCTGGGCCTTAACAGGTAAATTGGAGAGAGACCTCAAAAGCTGCAGCAGGTTCTGAGATTAGGGTTCCAGGTAGTGAATGGAGATTAGGGTTCCAGGTAGTGAATGGAGGTCTCCAGGAATTACTGCTGATCTCCAGATGACTGAGAGCAGTTCCCCTGGAGGAAATGGCCGTTTTGGACGGTGGACTCCATGGTTTTGCATCTCCACTGAGTTCGCTCCCTTCCCCAAACCCTACACCCAAATCTCCTGTAATTTCCCAACCCAGGGATGATATCCCTTTGGAGGGGTTCAGAATCTGAGTCTGGGGGGAAGGTAGAGCTGTATCCCAGTGCAAGAGACCTTACAAAGTCTCTTAGGGCAATTCTTCCTGAACATCAAAGGCATCTCCTGGAAGCCACTTGATGCTTCAGTCCGGCGTAGTCCCTCTGGACTTTAGTCTCCTTCTCATCTGCTTCTTTGCCTGGTGAAGAGGAGTCACAGTTTGGTCTTAAAGGTGCCACTGAACGCAAATTTTGTTTTGTTGCTTCAGACCAACATGGCTACCCATCTGAATCTTAGTTTATATGGTCACCATTTGTTCAGATTTAATTCCAGGGGGAAACATACTGAAGCAAATAAATATATTAAAATTGGAAACTGATGTGTACGTGTACCCACCTTAATTGTGGAATGCTGAGACTAATTAATTAACTGAGACCCTGTTCTTACGCTCCATCAGCCTCCTTTCAAATTACTTCCATGCTTGAGAGGAGACAGATGGAGCGTAAGTATAGGGTCTCAGTTAATTACTTTAAGAAAGGTACATTTACATCAATTTCCAATTTTGATGTATTTATTTGCTTCAGTGTGGAATTAAATCCAAACAGCATGGAATTAAATCCAAACAAATGGTGACCATATTCTTATTTGGTTCTTGCATCTGTTAAACATCTTCATTATGTTGTATGCTAATCTGCTGCTCACCCTCTACCTATATGTATGGACTGGTAACTCCCATTTCAAGGTATCTGAAAAAGTGTGTGTGCACACAAAAGTTTATACCTTAAATAAAACTTTGTTGGTCTTAAAGGTGCCACTGGACTCATATTTTTATCTAGCATAGTAACAGGGCCGTCCTAAGCAAAGTTATACCATTCTAAATCCTTTGAAGTTGATGGGCTTTGAAGGGTATAAGTAAACAAAAAGTGCAGTGACACCTTAGGGAACAGCCAGTGTTTTCAGGATATAAGCTTTCATCACTTAAATCTCACTTTGTCAGATATAAGAGGAATTAGGAAGTGCCGTGTAGGAAGGCTTCCTGCTTAGGCAGGCTCTATAAATTCACTGCAGAATGAAAGACCTCTGCGGCTCTGATCTAAAGAGGTGGGTGGCCCTTGCATTTCTGCATATTTTACTATGTTGGACTTCCAGTCAAGAGGCATGCTCAGAGCTATGACTAGTATAGAAACTAGGGTTGCTAACCATCAGTTGAGATCTGGAGTTCTCCTGGAATTACAACTGATTTCCAAACTACAGGGATCAGTTCCCCTGGAGAAAATGGCTGCTTTGTAGGGTGGATTCTATGGCATTATACACCACTGTGGTCACTTCCCAAACTCCACCCTCTCCACACTCCTCCCCCCCCAAAAAAAACCTCCAAGAATTTTCTAACCCAGAGTTGGCAAACCAAGTAGAAACATAATGGGTACATGTGTTTAGTGCCATCATGTTGCGTTCAAAATGGTGACTTTATGAATAAACGTCTTCCAAAACATCCTATAGGTAACAGCCTTGCTTGCGTCTTGTCTGCCCGTCTCCCCTCTCCTTCTCCAGCTAGGGCACCTAGAGAACATCTGGCAGGGAACCCAGGCATTTAAATCCCCCCTTCCCCCGAGTCTCTCCGCAGAGTGGAGAGGCTCAGGGGAATGGCAGTGGGGGACTCTGCAGGGCTTTCCCGGTCCATCCGCCTGCACAAGCGGGCCAGGAATGGGCGGGCACCCTGGGCTCCTTTCTGCTGGAGCACTGCTCCGCCACACTCGGGCTGGAAACAACCCCTGGGCTCAGTCAATGTGAATAGGTTCCATTGAACTTAATTGTAATTTTAAAAATACTGTTTTGAGGGGGTGTCTACTGGTCATGGGTAGATCAGTATAAATCTACCTAATCTTTTTAAAAACTGAATTACACATTTACCATTGAAGACATGACAATGAGTTCCACATGCTAAATTAATGTATCATTTATGTCAGATTACTCTGTCCAGATGGTAGATTCCCAAAATAACAGCAACAAAACAGTATAACTAAAATCCAGGAGAAGATGTGAATGGGACTATCTTAAGTTTGCCAACTGACCTGGAAAAAAATTATCCAGCTTGCCTTTGTGACATTAACAGTAGTTAATGAAAAAATAATAATGAGAGGAATCCTAAGCAAGTCAAGTCCTACTCAGGTCTATTTAATGGGGTTTACTCACAGGAAGATGTTCTTAGTATTTCCCTGAACAGATGGTAATAGCTGTATATAGAAATGAGTAAAAAGACTGGCAACACCGAACTATCTTCCTCTGGATTGTGGCTTTCTAGATCATTAGCATGCTAATCTTGCTTCAGCTAACTCAGCACATACTAGCTTTTGAAGTTACTTGTTTAGAACACCATATTCAAAGCTAAAGATGACACCATTATATTTTAAATTTGCTTCTGTTCCATAAAATCAGTTTGCAGCACATTTAAAAATTACATTAAAATGGTCTTTCTGTATGAAGATTTAAAAAACATTATTTGTGCTTCTTTTAAAAAAAGAAAAATCACTAGTTGTAATAAAGTCTTTTTTTGTGGAAACAAATTGCACTTATAATAAACTAGCAGCAACACAGGATGCCTATTTGACAAATGAATCACTGTCTTGAGATAAATTCAGATGGGTAGCCATGTTGGTTTGAAGCAGTCGAGTCTGAGGAAATGTGCCTGCACACGAAAGCTTATACCTTGAATAAAACTTTGTTGGTCTCAAAGGTACCACTAGACTCAAACTTTGCTCTGTCTTGAGGTAAGTTTGAATCCAGTGGCGTCTTTAAGACCAACAAAATTTAATTCTGTGTATAAGCTTTCATGTGCATAACTACCCACCTGAATCTGTCTTGAGATAAGAAAGAGTAAAGAGGAGCTTAGCTGTTGTTTTTCATTCATTCTGTCAAACTGCTGGACTCCCACAAGAAAGGGAAAGTGTTTTCCACGTGCAAATCAGACACAACGAAGGCGGGTGAGATCATGGCTTCAAGGCCCAAATACAAATTATGGTTAACACTGTAATTAGCTTGCAAATTAGGAGATAACAAAAATAGCAGACGGCAGGAACTGGAGACAACTGTGTGAAACCAGCAGCCCAAAGGGGCCATTTAGGGTGGGAACAGATATTTTACAAGGGATGAACTGTACTTTCTTTGGGGTGAAATCTGCTTCTTACTCATTTCAAAAGATTGAATGTTTTTAACAGAAAATGGTGTCAGGAATCACTCTATCACAATAGTATCAACTCGTGCAAAATCAATCCTATATTATCCTGCATTAAAAAATATGTTAAGTAAAAACAATCTAAATTATTCTGAAATGTACTCATGAGCCTGCCTTAAACTGAGTGAAACTACTGGTATGTTTACAGGGGTCATTTCGTAGAAAAAGAGCTAGGGGGACTCATTAGCATAACTCATTAGCATATGCCACACCCCCTGACATCACCGGAAGTGTGTCCTCCCCACAGCCGGCGGCGACCTCCAGCGGGCACCAGCAGGGAGCTCCAGGCCCCGCCCTCCCGCACCTCACCCGGGGGGATGGCGTCCCCCCGCGTCCCCCCCCAAATGACCCTGGTTTGGCAGTGTATTCTGACAGGCAGCAATGCTAAAAAATTTCAGGTAAAAATCCCCCCCCCCCAAGAGCCTTCAACAAGAGATCTCAGGGATTTAATTGGGAACATTCTGTCTGTAAGATATTTATTTTTCTATTTACTTAACAACATTTATACCTCATCTTTCTGCTCTCATAAAGGCCACTGAGGCAGCTAACCAATTAAGATATTTGTTATTGTTGCTGCCATCAGATCACAGCCGACTTATGAACTGGGGGTACCTTAAATCCTGGTTAGACCTTCTGCCCACCAGTAGCACTTCCAGCCTGTTGGGCACAAGCTTCAGTTTACGTAGACCACAACCAAGCTGTGCCCCGGTTACATCCTGAAAAGTACGCAAACGGAGAGTGATTTCAGCAAAGCGTACTTTGTTCTATCCGGAACAAGACGACTTTGGCTGGCTCGCAGGCCGGCTTATATCCCCTGAGAAACCGCCACCCAAAACACACCCCTACTTCCCTATAGGTTATTTACAGTGGCCGAGAGTCCCATAGGCTCTCGGCCGGGAACCTAGCCCCCTGATTGGAGCAGGCTAGGATCCGCATAGTCCATTGTCTCTTGGAGCGAAGCTCTGCGTTTGTCTCTGGACTTGTCTGGACTTGTCTGGACTGGATACATTACACATCCCAAACCGTTCGTATACCAATGAGAAGTGTTCCTCAGGGTTTTTATTTCATAGTGTGAGAGTGTCTGTTCTGCTCTCCGTTTATTGAGGACGATTCTGGGTGACAGTTAGGCACGTCACATTTGTTTCCCGCTTCTTGCCTGTTTGGCGGGGTCACTGAGGGGAGGGGGGAGTGTGAGGGAAATCTCCACACAGAACCACCATTGCTGAAGCTTTTGCATCCATTGTAGTGATGAGTGGGAAACAGGGACTCACCCCCATGCTGAAGTAACCTTAGGAAGAGTATTAAACAATAGCATTAAAATAACAAACCCAGACCCAGAAAAAAGATATGGTAACTGACAGAAAGAAAGAAAGAAAGAAAGAAAGAAAGAAAGAAAGAAAGAAAGAAAGAAAGAAAGAAAGAAAGAAAGAAAGAAAGAAAGAAAGAAAGAAAGAAAAAGAAAGAAAGAAATTATATAGGGCAGCTATTATTAAAGGTGCAGTTCAGACCAGATCTTCACTGGAAAACGTCTGACTGCACTTCCTCATTAAAGGTACGTGGGCCCTGTCCTTTCCTGCACCTGGTCACTGTAATCCTCATAAAAGGACATGTGATTCTGTTACAGGGGTGTATTTAAAACTGCTGTCAGGAAGGAAAGAAGGAAGACTTTAATTAGTCTGTTAAGAAGATTATTTAAAAAAAAATCACAGCTTTCTCCTTAAGAGGCTCTGTGCTGGGCAGTGCAGGCAGCAGAAGATATGATTTATAGAAAGCAGTAAATCCAATCTTAGTAAGAAATCTTGATAAGAATGTTCTTTATGGTAGGGAA